CGTTTCTGACCCGGCCTCTATCCTTTCAGACTCCCTGTACAGCAGTCCCTGATGTCACACATACTTTTCCCCCTCTAACCCCGCCTGACTAGAGGTGACCTTATCCCTGTAAACCTGTAGCGTGGGGTCTGTGGTCACCTCTTTCCCAAACTCAGTGGGAGCAGCCCAGGGTGCTCTAGGGATGGGGAGGGGTCTCTTACCTGAGCCTCCGGGTGTGAGCTGTGGTCTATGGTGCGGGTCTGTTGCCTGGTAACTACCAGGTACGATTCCTCTTGTGGTGCATGCAGTTCAAAAACTGATGTGAGCCTCCTTAGGTCATTTCCCAAAAGTACTTTGGCCTGCAGATCTGGCATCAACCCGATCTCCACCACTCCAGAACCCCCGCTCCCCAATTCACATGTACCTGGGCAGTAGGCAGCCGGTTCACTGCTTCCCCGGCGACCCGCACTGTCACCATATTCCCGGTCTTTGCACCGCAGGCACCCAGTGGCTCTATACCAGGGTAAGCCGGTTCACTGCTTCCCTGGCTACCCGCACTGCCACCATATTCCCGGTCTTTGCACTGTGGGCCCCAAGTGGCTCTTTACCAGGGTAAGGGTGGCTCCCGTGTCGCGGAGCCCCTGAAACCCCTTTCCCTGAGGGTTTCGGCTTGCTGATGATGCTGACGATTATCTGCTTCTGCCTGTAGTGGGTCAGCTTCGTGCAGGACCTCCCAGTGTTCCACGGCTGTTGCAGGGGATGCATACTGGGCAGGAGCCTCTGCCTGGTAGTAGTGTGCTGCGCCTCGGATGGATGGTGGTGGTGGTGGTTCCAGGAGGGTCTACTGAGCCCAGTTCTGGAAGCAATCCCTGCGTTTTTCTTGCAGATGTGGCACTGGAGGTGGCTCTGCTGCTGGAAGCGAGGTGGTGGGGCATTGGGTGGCGCTACTGGCCCAGGGTGTGCTGCTGTACGTCTGAAGAAGTATCTTGGTTGGACTGGTCTCTGCTGTCGCCGGGCATCCAAATACTCACCCACTCCTGGATGTCTGGAGCCAACCCATTAAAAAATTGCTCCAGTAGCACCAACTTTAATAAGTCTTCCATAGTGCTTGCTTTGTGGGCTTTCACCCACCCCAGAACGGCCTAGTGTAATCGGCAGGGCCATTGAGCATGGGAATCTTTAACAGCCTTTTTCAATTCTCTGAACTGCCTGCAGTATGCCTCTGGCATGATGGCATACCTGGCAAATATTACTGCTTTTACCCAAACATAGTTTCTGATTTCCTCATCGGGGACCGTGCGGTAAGCCTCTGCCGCCCTCCCTTACAGTCTCCTTGCCAATAGAGGAACCCACTCATCCGCATCAATTTTATATAGGGCACATTGTCTCTCAAAATCCTGGAGGAAAGCATCAATATCTTCCTCCGCCTCTACAAAGTTTTTAAAAGCACTGTATGGTATTTTAGGCTAACTCCCTTTGGCACCATTGTCATTGCTTGGGTTTTTTCGGGAGTTTGTTGATCTCTTTGCTTTAACGTGAACTCCTGGACTTCCGACATGGTTCGGGCAATGATGTCTGTCAATGGGTTTGCGCCATAAAAAGACAGACGAAATTGTAATTCCCTTTCGAATGCCGTCAGTTCCTGTTCGTGTACCAAACTGCTCCATTCGCGAGCCAAACCACCATCTGTTCGGTATTCCGCCATAATTTCGACAATGAGGGTGGCCTTCTTCTTGCTGCTTGCTGGTATTCCTCTTGCCTCTAGGAGATCCTTTAGCGGGGAGTAGTCAATCTCCATCCACGGTCCATCTGGTGCTGCTAAATCCACTGGTACTTGTTCCTCTGTGAGCTCTGGATCCCGCTGCTTCCAATCAATTTAGCGGAGCCCTAGTCCTAGCAGGGACTCTTCTCCACTGGTTACTCCAAAATATACTCAGGAACAAGTAAAACAATCCAGTGGAACCGTCCGGCCAGACACGAGACGCTACCCTAAAATAGTTCCAGGGAAATGTGTGTCTTGGTCGGTCTCCGTTCGTGGGACCTCCGTGTGAAAACCATGCAAGGGAATCTCTCGCTTTTAGGGTATGAATGCTCCCCCTGTTTGGTAGTCTATATATCCCAAAGCCGTTCGTGTAGGTGGTCAGGAACAGGCAGCGGGTGCGAAGCTGAAAATCGTTTCAGGCACTCGACGACCAGGTACCGCTGCCCTCTTTCAGGAGACAAGATGGCCGCCATTCTCTCAACCACGTGTTCGGTTATACGAAATGGCGGCCACCCAGGAGAAGCACTCCATTGTTTCCCTTGCGGTTTCGCAATTAAGTGGTTGGTGTTAACGTTCTAATGGGGTGCAGGGGTGGACCTTGTTCGGAAGAAGAATGGGTTCCGTTCGTATGAGTGGCAGTTGGTAATGGAGGCGAGGGGCAGTTAGTGATGGACGGTCGGTTAGTAATAGAGGAGCAGTTAATAATGGAGGGGAGCACCTTAAGGAATTCTCATATGACAATAAATGTGTAATATATAAGAGAGAAAGTGTAAATTATAGTGCAGTATCTCTGATGCAAGTAGGTAGGAGAAAAAAGGAAAAGCACTTACAGTGTATAGAGCTAGAATTAGCTCTACTTTTCTGCACCTGGGCTATACAACCCCTGCCTGGGGATATTGTGTGTTCCAGAGAGTATGAAAAATAAACAGAAGATAAATCCCTATTTAGGGTAGTATATTAGGATAAAAAATGTGTGGAAATACACTCGCACTGTATGGAGCCTCCAACTGGCTCCCAGAAGGCAGCATAAAGTGGTATGTTCCCCACTTAAGGCTCTTGTAAGTTGGTAGGCAAACTTTTGATGTATTATAGTTACATAGCTGAAAAGAGACAAGCGTCCATCAAGTTCAGCCTTCCTCACATATGTTTTTGCTGTTGATCCAAAAGAAGGCAAAAACCCAGTCTGAAGCGCTTCCAATTTTGCAACAAACTAGGAAAAAATTCCTTCTTGACCCCAAAATAGCAGTCAGATGTCTCCTTGGATCAAGCAGCTATTACCCCACCAATTAGAAATTATATCCCTGTATGTTATGTTTTTGCAAGTATTTATCCAATTGCAGTTTAAACATCTTTATAGACTCTGACAAAACTACCTCTTCAGGCAAAGAATTCCATATCCATATTGCTCTTACTGTAAAAAAAACCTTTTCTTTGCCCTAGATGAAATCTCCTTTCTTCCAGCCTAAATGTGTGACCTCGTGTCCTATGTATAGCCCTGTTTATGAATAGATTTCCAGATAAAGGTTTGGACTGGCCCCGAATATATTTGTATAATGTTATCATATCCCCTCTCAGGCACTGTTTTTCCAAACTAGAGATTTAAATTTTTTAACCTTTCTTCGTAACTAAAATTCTCCATTCCTTTTATCAGTTTTGTAGCTCGTCTCTGCACCCTCTCCAGTGCCATGATATCCTTCTTTAGAACAGGCGCCCAAAATTGCACAGCATATTCAAGATGTGGTCTTACCAGCGATTTATAAAGAGGCAAAATGATATTTTCATCCCGAGAATTTATGCCCCTATTTATACATGACAAAACCTTACTGGCCTTAGCAACTGCAGATTGACATTGCATATTGCTGCCTAATTTGTTGTCTATAACAATTCCCAAATCCTTCTTGTGTGTGGTTATCTCTAATTCACTACCATTTAGTGTGTAAGTTGCTTCTGCATTCTCGACCTCGAAGTGCATAACTTTTATTGCTAATAACAAAGTTCTTCCCAATGAATTCCTGAATATTATCCCTTAATAGCTCTTCAAATAATTTCCCAGTCACAGAAGTTAAGCTCACATGTCTGTAATTTCCAGGCAAGGATTTTGAACCCTTTTTAAATATAGGAACAAGATCTGCCTTCCTCCAATCCTCTGGTTCACTTCCTGAAAGAAAAGAATCTTGAAAAATTAAATACAGAGTGTCATGCCAAAAGCATGAGTTGGTGTTTGATGTGTGTTTATATATGTTAAGAGTTGTTTTTTGTAAACCTTGGGATGACATTTATTGTGGTCTTTGATCTTGCACCAGGCCTAGACCATAAAACATCTAGATAGCCATCACCAGAGCTGGACACAAGGAATTTCATAGAGTGGGCAATAGACTGCCAGACCAGCCCCCTCTGATCCCCCCCCAGGGGTCTGCCCACTGAGAAACAACTAGTTTAGCTATATGAGGGTGTTGGACTATCCAGGGAAGTCAGTTATTCATTTTTCTTTTGTCAGTAACTTCTAGGAGACCTATACCATCTAAGACTCCCACAAGAATTCTATATGGGGTAAATATATGTAAGGAATTTCTTGTGTTTTCTCCTATTTTATTTTATGTACTGTTTTGCAATTTGTTATCTGTATGTCATTTATTTCTGTATTTTGTACTCAGCACTGTGAATCCTTTTTGTAAGATTAAATGTTTACTTAATCAGCTTGTGTCTCTGTTCTCTATGAGCTTCACTCTCCAGAGGAAAGCTCAGGTAAACACGTTACCAAAAAGGGTTAACTATATATGTTTTATCAGTAAAAGTAGAACTGTGATACTATAATTCTCCTGTGTGTGTGGTAACCTAAGACGCCCGGGTTTAAAAGTCTTGGTGGTGGCAGTAGAGTATGTACTAAGGGGGATAGTGTAGAAGGGATTGCAGGGGTTAATTGAGTGGTTGCTGGGACTAGCAACAGGTAACCAGGGGTCTGGTGTAATTAACCCTGTCACTTCCACACTCTCCCCACTTTCTCGGCTGGGCCTATAGCCCACGCACGTGACAAACTGGCGGCAGCTGGTGGGATATATTTAGAGATTTTTAGTGCTTGCTAGATTTTACCTGTAAAGGGGGTCTTAGCACTAAAAGAAATTGCATACTGGTTTTTGTGTAATTTCCAAAGACCAAGCTCAGTGCAGATTTAAAATACATACAAAGTGCAAAACAGTTCTCCCCTCCCATCTTTTGTTTTTCTTTCTCTATCCTATTTGTGAATATGGAGGCCTATCGCAAACAATCAAAAGAGGCCTTGGAATTGTTGTGCCAAGATAAGAATTTACCAACTTTTGGCAAAAATAAGGCACAACTTATTGCTGACCTTGTGGAGGCTGACAGCCATATTTTCCAGCCAGAGACGGACACTGAAAGGGTTACCGAGCTCCCTACTACTGCAGGAGTGTTGCTTACTGAAATGCCTGGTGGTTGTACCCCTCAAAACATTAAGGACATTTGCTGAACTGATTTATTTCGGCAACTGATGGCTGCAAATCCTCAGGAGGCCCTGCATGTGATGATCCAACAGCAGGCTGCAGAAAGGGAATCTGCAGAGAGGCTAGCCGAAAGGGAAGCGCAAAGGCATGCTGCAGAAAGGGAGGCACAAAGGAGACATGAGCTGGAACTTGCTAAACTGCAATTTACCCTTCAGTCCTCACTGAACAGCAATGCATCAGAGTCCAGCACACGTAGGCTCCGTAAGGATGATTTTCCTTTCTGAAGAAGGGACAGATTTGGATGTATTTTTAAAAAGTTTTGAGAAAATATGCAGGCAGCATCAACTACCCTCAGACCAGTGGGGCAGATATTTAACTCCACAATTGAAAGGGAAAGCCTTGGATGTGTTTGTGTCCCTTCCCCCAGAGACTGATAACAACTATGAGGCAATCAAATCTGCATTGCAAAAAACTTTTAACCTTACTCCTGAGTCTTACAGGAAAAAGTTTAGGAGTATGCAGCAATGCCCATCATCCAGCTGCATTCTATATGTTGCACAATTAGAAACCACGTTCCGGCAATGGGTAACAGGAGTACAAGCTACTACCTATGAAGCCCTTAATGGTCCTGGAGCAGTTCTTGCAGACCCGGAGCCCTAATGTACGAGAGTGGATTTTGGAAAGAAAGTCAAAAAATGCTAGGGCTGCTGCAGAACTGGCAGATGACTATGCCGACATCCATGCACCCACATCCAGGCGTGGACTTGTGTCAGCTGCTACTTCGACCTGGAGAGAAGCTACAGTTCAATCACCACCTGTAAGATCTGCAGTGAGAACTTCACCGCCGACTGCCAGCGTAGCAGGGGCTATGTCAAGTGAGTCAGATGCCCGCCGTTGTTTTCGATGCAACCAGATTGGTCATCTGAGCAGGACTTGCCCCACCAGGAATATACCCTCACCAGCCCGTGGAGGGGCACCATCAGCTTTGCTTGTGGGTGGGTCCATGGGGAAACGAGACGATAAGCTGCAGAGTGTAATTGTGGGTGACTGAGTGACCATGGGACTGCGAGATTCTGGAGCTTCATTCACCCTGGTGCGCCCTGAAGTGGTGAATATGGAGGACATAATCCCTGGAAGAACCATGTCCATCAAAGGAATTGGGGGTGTATGCCCCGCTGTGCCCTTGGCAAGTGTGTACCTTGATTGGGGTGCGGGCAAAGGTTTGCGGGAAGTGGGGATTTCGGAGGATATGATTTGGGCAGGATGCTTTGTCACTATGCTCCAGAGGACACTGTTTGTGAGCCAGACGGGCTGACTGCTCCACCTAAGGTATTGTGTGAAACTTTGGGAGACATTGTGAACTGTGATTGCTGGGAGGGAGAGCAGGGTGTGGATAAATATCTACCTGTAACTGAACCAGTGATGTCTACCAAATGTGAGATAGGGGTGAGTAGTGATGTGCCTGTATCAAAATACTGTGAGGCTGGGATGTCAGAGAGTAAGGGGGAGGAGGAAGGTGAGAGCCAGGGATGTGTACCACTAGTCGCAGTGGTAACAAGTCAGCAGTGGGTCAGGGCGGCAGCAGGACAGTCTCAGGGGCTATGTGAGATTGTGAGAGGATGGCCTGCCCTGGAGAAGAAATTATGTGTGTGTGCAAAATTTTGTATCTGATCAAGGGGGGTCAAATGTGTCCTGTGAAAATGTATGGGAAAAGCCTTCCAGCGAGAGGGGGCTGAATGAATATATGTGCCAATATGTGCCTGAAGCAGATGTATGTGATGCACTGGGTGAAAATGTGGAGGGACAGCAAGGCTATGAGGGAGGGCAGAGGGTGTGTGAGCTTTACTCTGCGCCAGACTTAGCCAGTTTCCATAGTTCTGTATGTGTGATTACCTGGAGTGAAAGTGAGGGGCACGGACAGACTCAGCCTGTGGGTCCAGGAAGGATGGCCGCAGGGAAACCTACTGTTGGAGGAACCAGGAACCCAGTTTATCACAACTCACGCATACACCTAAGCAACTTTCTGATTGTGAACCAAAGGTTGAGTCTGATAGTGCAACAAGCCCAGCAGACAGACCCCAAAATGAAAGAGATGATGGGTGTTGATACAGCACATCTATCCTGGGAGTGTTCTCTGTCTGCTTTTTTGTGTGCTTACCGGGGAGTGCTGCAGAAATCCATTGGTTTCTTCCCCTTACAGCTACTACATGAGC